TAAACGATAAACAGAAGTCTTCGTTGCCATAGCAACCGCGCTCTTGGCGTATTCATCCGCTACTGCTTATAGGCCTATGACCTTGTTCACCACCACACGTATACCTACCTACAGACAAACAGAAGGTAGCGTCAACTGCATACGACAGTGTAGACGCAGAGGGGTACAGCACCGACGACGAGCGCAGGAATGGACAGGCAGAGGTGTGCAGTGCGTGTGTTGGGATGGGCTGGTTGGTCGATATAGTTGGTAGAGGTGTTGAGGTGTAATCGTGCATTGTGATTGGCTATTGCGTACTGTGTTGGGATGGGCTGGTTGGTTGATATAGTTGGTAGAGTTGTTGAGGTGTAATCGTGCATCGTGATTGGCTATTGCGTACTGTATTGGGATGGGCTGGGCTGGTTGGCCTATATAGTTGGTAGAGTTGTTGCATCGTGCATTGTGATTGGCTATTGCGTACTGTGTTGGGATGGGCTAGTTGGTCGATATAGTTGGTAGAGTTGTTGAGGTGTAATCGTGCATTGTGATTGGCTATTGCGTACTGTGTTGAGATGGGCTGGTTGGTCGATATAGTTGGTAGAGTTGTTGGGTGTGATCGTGCATTGTGATTGGCTATTGCGTACTGTGTTGGGATGGGCTGGTTGGCCTATATAGTTGGTAGAGTTGTTGAGGTGTAATCTTGCATTGTGATTGGCTATTGCGTATTGTGTTGGGATGGGCTGGTTTGCCGATATAGTTGGTAGAGTCCGCACATATGAGAACTATGTCCATGCACATGCATATATGAGGACTATGCTCATGTGCGTTAATAGATGTGGATAATGTTCATGCACATGCATATATGAGGACTATGCTCATGTACAGTAACAGATGAGGATAATGTCCATGCACTTGCATATATGAGGACTATGCTCAGGTGCATTAATAGATGAGGATAATGTCCAAGCACATGCATATATGAGGACTATGCTCAGGTACATTAATAGATGAGAATAATGTCCATGCACATGCATATATGAGGACTATGTTCATTGTGCCGTCCATACCCTAAACCCTGGCTCGATCAGCGGGTGCTCTCATCCTCTGGATGTATTCTGCAACTAACTCGCATCAACACAACAGGCATTTGGGAATACCTGCATAGAGCGCATGGCTCAGGTTGTGCTGCTTCTGACCATGGTGTGTCGGATCAGTGCCCAAGTGCGACGTCTCATAGTCACAGGTCACATCCCTTCGAACGGTAAGCGTAAGAAGTATTACACACACAGGGTACGGCTTTATGATTGATACCGGTGTATCTGCATACGTTTATGGATATGTATGGCATGAGCTGTTCAGTGTATGTCAAGCAGAAAGCGCTACACACTCAGTCATACTACACACTCGGTCATAACTCACACTCAGTCATACTACACACTCAGTCATAACACACACTCAGTCATAGGCATTTGCTTACACCATATGGGAGACGCACACACCGCAGACAGACACCGCAGGCGCTGTAGCATTATCATTTAGCCAACTCGGCGGTAGTCCTCTGAGAAACTGCCTCTATCACACCACTTGCATGGTATTGGCTGGACGCCCATTCATCCTACCTCACTCCCAGTACGCACTACGCACCAGAACATCAAGCCAGCTTAGATACACTCATTCCACACACTTTCCTGTACCTGTGCGCATATCTTATCGTAGCTACTTCTCTCATCGACAGAGTCACATACGTGGGAGACCTCGTGCGCCGAGGACACTCCCACAGCACGCGCAAGAGCCAAAGCCACTGCGCTGAAGAATAGATTGCACTCACGCGGGGTCGTTTTTGGCAATCGACAATCGGACATCGACACTACACTATTATCGCAGGTTTGTCGTACATGTCGGATTTTGCGTTATATATATAATATATATATATATATATATATATGTATTTATATATATATGTATATATATATATATATATATATATATATATATATATATATATATATATATATATATATATATATATATATATATATATATATATATATATATATATGTACATAAATATATATATATAATAT